ACGATTTTGAGCCATGTCGTTCAAGGTCTCTAACCATTGGTGACTATCGTCTCGCGGACCCCAACCAGGTAGCCAACATCTGCCAACATGACTCAATCCACTTGTCAGTGACTTCATGGATTTCATCCATGTTTTGGTTTGTCCGCCTTTATCTTTATTCCAACCTACTCCTACACTGCAAAACATAGCTCGTCGACGCAGTCGGTGGTTAGGCATACGCAACACATGTCCCAACTACCTCAACTGATGAAGTTTCAATACTTCATCTACTGATTTGCCATCCCTACCTAGTACTTGTTTCTTGACGATAGCATTGCTTACTCGGTTGTCCCATAATATACGAGCAATGCTTCGGAGATACCTGTGATCGAAGACAACCAATTTACAGATGTCCTCTACTCTTACAGGCCCTTTTTCGCATCCATATAGTAGGACGGAGAGAACTGTTACGCAGTACACTCATCCTTTGGTTGGCAAACGGATATGTAGCCTAATAATCATGCAGACATGCAGCATACAATCAAAGCGGGGCAGAGTGAAGCGCAGTAAATTGATGGGGATAAGGTGAGAGAGCCAACTCCATTCAATTAAAACAAGACTAAGAATTTATAGTCGAATAAAAATAAGCCAGACATGTAATAAGCGAGATAGGCGTGTGCGCACACATGAATAAAAGGCAACGCAGATACGAACGAATGAATGACAAGACCAAAAGAAAAGTGAGCTAATTAATTTACCCAAAAGATAGGTCGAGCCCAGTCATCTGGGTATAACAACACTCCCTAAATGGTAACTCATGTATGAACAATGCTTTAAGATCATCTCTTTTAATGAGGTAAATGGATAAATAGTAAGTTCCTATAAGCTAGTCAGTAAATTGCAGCCTGATAAATAACTTGAAACGTGAAAAGAACACGTTAATCGAGAAACAGAAAATCAGGCAACTAAACAAGGTTATTTGAAAGTAAAAATATTTATTATTTAGAAAATATTTAACACAAAAATAAACATTCATAAATGTGATTTATTAACTAATGGAAATTAAGACATGATTATCATGCCTAATTCTAATCACTCAATTATGTTGCGCGCTACTTATAAGTAGTATATGACGTGAGTGTCAACGTAATGTCTGGCAGCAGAAGATGGGGGAAGATCAAGAAAGGAAGAGTTAGAAGAACACAATGGAATTTGTATGAAACGCATGAACAGTGGTGAAATGTCAGACAATGGATTGATAATTGATTGATGATTTGCAAATTAACCGTTTACGATATTGTTTTCCTATTTTACTGAGTAACTCTGTAATTTTTGATAAATACAATTTGGCTGCCCTCACCTGTGTTCTCGTTCACTACAATATTACCTTCTCTGCATAAAATACTGTGGTCTACTTAAACGATGATATCTTTAACACTTAAAAATTTCTAAAGTTTTCCTTCCTTCTCTAAACAACAAACATGATACTGTACATTCGACATCTAGTCACTTAAACTAATGCCCTTAATGCAACATAGCCGACAGAGTCACATTAGCACTAAGTGATTGATCGATGTTAAATATCTTAGTTCTACAGAAGGTCGATCGTGATACGAATCTAGTAATAGAAGTGTCGCAGGAAATGGAACTAGGTAAAGAGGACTAGAGTCCTGCGCAGATGTTTATTCAACAAGTGTCAAATAGAAAGAAACATTATTTCAGGGTTTCCACTTGAATACCTCTGACTACACAATATCAAAATATGATACTGATGATGTTTATTAATCACCCATACTAGTTGATATATTGCAACTTGATCAATAGAATCAAAAGGAGAAAATTTCTAGCTCGAGTGAATGATTATGATGGGGTTTCGTTTTCTGAGCTAGAAGTTTTGGTTTTGGAGCTCTCATCGTTCATCAGAACAACATCATTCGTAGAAACGTCAGGTAGAGGTGAAGTATTCGAATTTATCAACGTTTAACCTGCAGTTTGTTCTGTTAACCTCGATCTTGATTGGTTTATGTTGAGCTTAGGCGACATAGAATCAAGAAGCAGATCAAAAAGGGGATACAATCAAAACAAAGGTGGAAACAACGACAGGTTCAAGGTCAACAACATCACATCAAGATCGAGGTTAACATAACAAGCTACGGGTGAAACGTGGAGAAATTCGAATACTCTTCACTTCTTCTATCAGAAGTTTGTGCTGATAATGTTAATCAGAAAAACGATGAAAGCTTCATAACTGAAACATTCAGCTCAGAAAACGAAACACCACTATATCTATTCATGTTATTAGCGCTGACAAAAACAGCCGAATTTCAAATGAGTTGTTACTCAATAATCAATCAGTATAATAACGAGGTCGCTTGTTCATGAAGTAGAATAATTCTGAATGTATTGATCTTTTTCTCTTCTAATTTTGAAATCATTGCATTTTTAAGAGTATTGATTTAATGTCACATATTTTGTCTTTGGTGACATTTAACAGGAGTTTTAATAAGATTCAATAAACCTCTCTTCTGTGGTGGACATGTAAGCGAATTGCTAGACTACCTGTTTTTTTTTTAAATAAATAAGTACGCTTTAAAAGAAAGGAACATTTCTGGAGATTGTTTTTCGAATAACTATAGAAATCAACTTTCGATTATTGTTTAAAAAATTGATCTTTAGGAAACTAGCTTACTATAGTACCATTGTACACAAAATCTGTGATATACAAGTAGTTTCTATTAGTTTTAGCAAAAAAGCACTAGTAATTATGCGTTCCATTATCTTTGTATTACTGAACTCTTGATTTGTTAGTACAAAACGTTTACTTTCAAGTGATTTTATTGTAGCGGTAGAATTCAGAGAGCATTTTGAGTACCTTGATTGAAAAATCATGTGGAAATATTTGCAAATAATTTCATAACACCTGTTGTCTTTATAGTTAGTATTAACTCCGCCTGTAGCCCTTCTAGGGTTACTACCGACCCCAAGTCCGCATCAAAGAGGAGGGTTGGGCATGGAGTTAGCGAACCAATCCTGAAGCCAACCAGAAAAATAATTCGCTGATCTGTGACCTATGCTCCATTAGGGGTAACAGGCGTAAGTAAGTAAGCAATAGTTAACATCACTGACTGTTTTTAGTTAAACAACCATTGTAGTAAACAATGAAATTCGGGAACTTTATATCAATATGTCACACGTTCGTGAGAATACATAGTTTTCAACGGTCGTTTTATTAAAAGTAGTCAGTGATGTTAACTATAAAGCTCAATGAAATGAACAAACCCCTATTTTAGACAGGATTATTCGGAATAATGCAGTTTTACATAACATGATGATTACTAAATGAAAATATTAGACTTTTAAAGAGATTCGAGTAAACAACTGACGTGATTGAGCTGTAAGTTTTGAGTTCTTCAATCAAACAATCTATTCTTACTGAATAATAACATATATTCATTTACGTTTCAGTGAAATTGTATGTATGGATACTTTTTAAAGTTTATTCTTTAATGCCTTACTGAAATCGTTTGAATTGATGTAACTAAATACTTGTTCTTCCTTGGTGATAATAGGAAATCGAATTATCGACCTTTTTCTATTTGGAGAATGTTACATTTATTCAATTGAGGTGACAGATATTGTGCCATCATTGTGCTTCATATGTTCTGAAAATAAAATCACAATGAGAAAAACAACTCCTCTTTGATCCATAATTATGTTTTAGTAACTGAAAATTATCCTTTATATTTATTTTTCTCAGTTTGCTTCTTGTCCTATTGTTGGGGATGTTAGATCCCCGGAATTCGCTTGATAAATATCTTTTATTTTGGATTTATTTCATATGCCAATCGCTTGACCTTGAGATCACATTTCCCCCACCAGGAAAATCCTTGGCTGTGATTGCTCACTGTGTTATTCTACTATGCTATTTTTGTGACTGTCACAAGGACGTTTCTACGGAGTGTAAATAAACGCAATTTGAGTGCTTGGATTCATTGGGTGCTGGCTAGGTTTTTGTAGAATACACTTTTCACACTATATCAAGACTTCTTGCTGGTACAATTGGGACAATCAGATCACAGTAGCCTACTTGGACGCTGGTTCATTGTTTTGTTCTCGTTATTCCGTAATAGTTTTAAGCATACCTAGAAACGAGTATAGCACCTATCATGCCATTAGAGGTTCTCAAGATCAGTTGTATTAGTTTACATCTTTTAAACACTTGTTTTATGGAACTGAGACAGTATAACTTGTTTAGATGACTGTACATCGGTTCAAAGAAACGATAAAAATTTTATTAACTAGTGTTATCTAGTGTTATAAGCATCCAGTAAAACAGTAAGTAGCTCTAAGGTGGGTGATTTTGCTAATGTTTCGTTCTCAGAGCTGGATATTTTGTTTATGAAGCCTTCATTGTTGTTCTTCTGAACAACATCATCATCATCAACACAAACGTCAGATGAAATTGAAGTACTCGAATTTCTTCAACAGCAACCAATCTTGACCGAGGTTAGCAGAACTAGTTACAGATCAAACGTGGAGAAATTCAAATACTCTTCACTTCTTCAATCTGAAGTTTGTGCTAATGATGATGTTGTTCAGAAGCAGAAGAACACTGAAAGCTTCACAACCAAAGCATCCACTACTCAGACAATGAAACACTACCATAATAAGTAGATCATGAACTTGAAAAATCAAGCTAATATTTAAGTACAAAATTCGATATGAAATTATGCATTAACATGTATACATAAACGTCATTTGTTAATTTGTATTAAGTTTAAACAAGTGATTGATATCGTAGTGTAGGTAATAAAAATTTAGACAAAACATATGATACACGCACATTAGTTTTGTTTAAAATTAACAATGTTAACTAATAGTAATGCCAACTAAAATGATGAAATATTCATGGCGTTAAATTACTGGTTATTATGTATTGCTTAGTGGTACATATTGGACAATTGAATGTGTTTATCAGAAATACTATAAGTGAATATATATATATTTATAAGTTTTATTATTGATGCCTATAAAATGAATTTTGAACATGTGGATGAATACCAGTAGATTCAGTTCTTTGATAAGAAAGTGAGTATGATTATGATTCAGTTTCATATATTTCTGTTATATGCTCGTCACTTGATATGCTTGAAAACTATTACGGGTTCACCTTAGTCGATAAACGAGAATGAGACAATGAACCAGTGTCCGAGTAGGCTACTCTGATCCGTTAACCCCCAAAGGAATTAATGAAAAAGTCTTGATATAGCGTAGAAAGTGTCATATAAAAACACTCAGGGATTACAATGATCTCAAGCACACAAATCGCGTTTATTTATACATCATAGTTACGTCCTTGAGAGAGTCACAAAAATAGCACACTAAAACAACACAGTAACCAATCAAAGCCGAGGATTTTCCTGGTGGGAAATGTGATCTCGAAGTCAACTGATCAGCCCATGAATAAAATCCCAAATAATGACATTTATCAAGCGAGTTCTAAGGATCTAACGTCCCCAATAGTTTCAAAGTAAAATATAGCCTTTTTGCCATATAAGCACATTATTTGATTTTTATACTAATAAAACTTAACCTTTCTGTTCATGAATTCTGTTCATCTCATCATTATCGAACAAAGAAGAAGCATGGAATTTTCATTTTGTGGAAATTATTCGTGCAAATGATTACAATCCAGTAACATAAAAAATCAATACCAACCTGTTCTAGTTTATACTAGTAGTTGAATTGATTTCTAAATGTCATGAAAATAATGTGTTCTTTTACTTAAATCACACATATTCATATGGATCAGATTTTGAAGTTAAACTGTTCTACTTTATGCATAGAATGGTATGCTTGTTAATGGAGGAGATATTCATTAGACAGTGTCATATTGCAGACAAAAACCTTTAGCCATTTGATTACTAATGTATACATATACATATATTTAACAAGAATAATCATGATATTAGAATAACATCTGAGTAGTAGACTACAAAGGGGTCATTTGGTAGATTGTTTCTAGTTGTTATTTTACTGATTTAATATTTTACAAGACTGAGTCATACACTCATAAACTGTTCGCATATTTCGCTCAAAATTATATTTAAAATATTCTTAGAGATTGAAACCACAGTCCTTTGAACATTTTGATCCAGTAAACTTGTCTAAACTTCTTGAGAGTAATTATCAGACGATATAGAATTTTTGAAAATAATATATCTTCTGTTAGACATATAAACATCGTTGGATGCCGTCCCAGTGGTCCAGATGTTAGGCATTCACACGTACAAGACCGAAGGTCGCGGGTTCGAATACTGCGAGATGCAGGAGTCGTGGATGCGCACTACCACACTGATGAGTCCCACACCGGGACGAAACAGCCAACCGTCAGTGCTTCCAGGTTTCTAATGGTGATGGTCTATCAATGATTGATCATTTCAAATGTGTAAAAACACTAATCTCCATAACTCTAAGTGAAAATTGTACACTATATGCTCAGTTTCTGTCAAGCTGTTCTTTCAAATATTGACGAATATTCATATAAGTTCAACTTCATTATTGACCATTAAGGTAGAGATTTCGACTCATTGGTGTATAGATTGACTACTTTTTTTACCAGTGGTACTTCATGTTTTTACTTTTTGCTTAGTCTCATTGTTGTGGATGCTAAACTAGCAATAGGGCAGTTATTCAATACTTCTGTTTGTGTGTGTACATTTATGTCTTAACTATGTTGTCAGTGACTGATGAAAATTAATTCTAACTACTGAATCATTATTTTATCCAGAGATGTGTGTAGGTAGTAATGACAAGGTTGCTTGATCCATTTAACTGAGTTAAATTGATTTTAAATCACTTAGTATAATTACTGTTACTGCTACTACTACTGTGGTGCGCGCTACTTATAAGTAGTATATGAAAACGTAATGTCTGGCAGCAGAAGATGGGGGGAAGATCAAGAAAGGAAGAGTTAGAAGAACACAATGGAATTTGTATGAAACGCATGAATAGTGACAATGGATTGATGTTTCGCAACAGGAACAGTCGAGTTCGATATTTATGGATTGATATTTTGCAAATTAACGGTTTACGATATGGTTTTCCAATTTTACTGAGTAACTCTGTAATTTTTGTTACATACAATCCGGTTGCCCCACCCGTGTTCTCCTTCACTACACTACTACTCCTCCGACTACTAATGCTACTATTACTACTACTATTACTACTACTACTACTACTACTACTACTACTACTACTACTACTAATACTACTACTACTACTGCTAATACTACTACTACTACTGTAGTGAAGGAGAACACAGGTGAGGGCAACGGAATTGTGTTTAACGAAATTTACAGAGTTACTCAGTAAAATAGGAAAACCATATCGTTGTGGTGGTGTTTCGTTCTCTGAGCTGAGAGAACGAAACACCACCACAATCATCCACCTGAGTTACTAGTTTTCTCCACCATCTCAAAACCATGTCGTAACCGGTAATTTGCAAATCTTCAATCCATCATCAATCCATTGTCTGACATTGCACTATTCATGCGTTTCATACAAATTCCATTGTGTTCTTCTAACTCTTCCTTTCTTGATCTTCCCCCATCTTTTGCTGCCAGACATTACGTTTACACTCGCGTCATATACTACTTAAAAGTATCGCGCACCACACCACTACTACTACTAATATAAAACTAATACTAATACTACTACTCGAACTACTACAACTACTACTACTACTACTACTACTACTACTACTACTACTACTAAATACCTAGATAAGTTTCATTTGTAATCATTAAACTTAAAAAGAAAAGAAGAGATTGTTGAATTTTTAATTTGCATTACAGACTGTTTTACAGTGAATCGAATTATTCTAAACTACAGAGATGGATGGATGTGTTTTGAACTTTATATACTATAAACTTCAGTCATTACAAGATACAAATACATCTCTCTCTTAATTAATATCAATGTTATGCTATCACGTTACTACTAACTCGATAAGAAAAGTCAATCGTTCTTTTTGATAATTTGGAAATATATATGTATACTATACACTTTTTCTGAGTAAAAACTGACGGTTATTTAAGAAGAAAGTACAAAACAGAAATTACAACTTGCCATTCCGCTCATATGATAATACGTTTTGTCAACCCTCATCATTTATGATGCAGTTAGTTAATAATGATGTATAGTCTTTAGCACTTCTCGGGTTACTGCCGGTTCCAAGCTCGGATAAAGGAGGAGGGTAGGGCATATGGTTCGTGACCTCATACCGTAGAAATTCAACTCACTGGAAAGAAGCTAACCAGAAAACTAATTCGCTGGTCAGCGGCCAAGGCTCCGGTAGGAGTAACTGGCGCTAGGCATGGCGTAGTTTTTGGGCTATGGCAATCTTCAAAATGACAACATTTCATCATAGTGTTCTGTCATCAAGTTACTTCTATTCTAAAATATAAAGTAAGCTTGTTGGGGAAGTTAGATCCCTAAAACTCGCTTGGAAAAGGTCTTAGTTTTGTAATTTTATTGTGAAATTTTGAATTTCCATGTTTTGACCTTGAGCTTACATTTCCCATTCGGGAGATCCTTGACTGTCATTGGTTGATGGATTATTTTAGTACCTTATTAGGTGGCTCTCCCAAGTCCGTTTCTATCATTGTATAAATAAGTTTGATTTGTGCGCTTAGACTCCTCGTATTTTCTGGGTGCTCATAGAATACACTCTCTACGACTTCTTGATCTAGTTAGCCTGGCCTGAGACAAATGGATTAGAATAGCGTATCGTGTTACTGGGACATTACTCTTTGTTCCGTTTATCGAGTAAGGTGAACTCGTAATAGTTTTAGGCATATCAAGTGGCGAGTATATCAGGGCTTCAGTCATATGTAGTAATTGTAATGTTTTCTCTTAAGTATGATTTTGTATAATAGATACATTGCCTAATCTCTAGTTAACTTTCAATGGGAATAAATTCAATAAAAATGAATCTATGACAAACACAGGATAGATTATACTCTTCTGGTTCTAATTTTTCTGAACACACCTCTTTACAAGACATTAAAATCTAAGAAACGAATAGTATAGTGAACGTTTAACGTTTCTCAAACTTATCAATTGTGAATGTATAATCCATACCTATAAACAAAACATTTGTATGACGAATTCTTGAAATGTGCTCTGAAATGCTACTACTAAAAATACTGCATTGTATGTTTTGTATCGTTTCATGCTCGTTTAGACAAAGTAAAACATCAATAAAAAAAAAATTACAAACTGTAGATGAACAAGAAATGTATATATATTTGTCTTTTTATTTAGGATAATCTCCCGGTAAATATTGATATTTCGAAAATGACGTCAGTTGTTTTAAGGTTCTCTAGATGTCTGGATGATAGTTACAGTCAGCTTGTGTGAATATATATAGCATCTGAAAATGTATACAAAAACTGGAATGCGATGTGTTTACGTATTTGAAATCATCAGTCAATCATTGTTAGACCACCGTTAGAAACCTGGAAGCACTAAACAGTTGTTTCGTCTTGGTATGGGACTCATCAGCAGTGCGCATCCACAACTCCCGCTACTCGAAGGATTTGAACTTCGGATCTTCTTGGATATGCACTGCTGATGATTCCCATACTAGGACGAAAAAGCCATCCAGTGCTTCCAGGTTTCTCATGGTGGTCTAACTATGATTGATTGATGATTTTAGTGTGTGAAAATTCTGATTTTCATAACTCTAATTGAAAGAATGTTATGTATTTGTTTGTTCAAACTAGTTTACTATATATCTCCACTAAATGCGACTTAGCACTATTCCTGAGTTAAAATAACTGTGCTGATAAGGTTTGGTTCAAACTATTACTATTACAAAACTCTAGGTCATCTATCTCAGTTATGTCCAAAATTACTTCACTTTTTGATTACACTTATAGCTTCTAAATCAAATTAACAAGTATATGTTTGAGCTGATTTTTTTGTTAGGATATTAACCTTGAAATCATGCTAAAACACTGAGATTCGTCAATTTTCTTTTGGTAAATCCACGTATATCTTTTCTTTTCACTGATCCAATCACTAAAGTAACATAATCGGTATAACAGTAAATTTTCTACATTGAACCTTGTAGATAATCCTGGTTGAATATGGATAACATCTGTATTTAGTTACACGAACGTTTGAACAACTGGTTTAAATGTTCAAAACAGTGGTTCCTTTTGATAAATTTGAACAGAGAAATAAGATATATTTTGTGAGATAGAGTACCATTTCGTGCTTTCTCGTCAGTCACATACAAGCAACATGTTATTTGTGTAAATACAGTTTTGAAGATAAGGTCAAAATTTCTTATTTAGCATGATATTATTCACTCACTAGAACCATGGTAAACAAAGGTTAACATACAGATGTTTTTGAACACATAAAGTTGGACTTTTCCGACCAATCAAGATAGCTTCGAGTAGTTTCAGTGTGTGTGGGTTTTGATGACATGTCACAACTCTAAAGGCTGATTTCGGGTCAAGTTGATGACCACTCATCATTAGATGTTTTGCAATGGACGAGGCTGGGTTTCTTGATCGATTTTGAGATGATGGGCTAGGTTGATGAAACATGGATTTGATTAGCCATTTTGGATTATGTTCCCCTATCCTGTCTTCCAATCGGCGATCTGTCCTCCCTAAGTGACTTTCTCCGCAGTTACATGTGAATTGGTAAATACAGTGGGATTCGGACTGAATCGGTCTTGGAGACTTGATTGGGGTAACTGAGATCGATTGAGTTGTTGTGATAAGTCTCAGATTAGCTGCACTGAAGGTCTTTTTTATTGCAGCTGCAGTCTGTTTGGTTGTAATTTTCATGCAAGGGTCACCTTTGAAAGGTAACTGTAGGTACACTGGTTTCTTGGGCACATCAGTTGCTATCGTCGTTTCGTCGTAGTTGTGTTCTGATGACCAATAAACGTTTCGGGATATCCGTTTGATTTAAGTGTGTCAGTAATAAGCTTGAATTGGTCGTTCAATGTATCAGCAGTGCAGATTCTACTTGCTCGAGCGAATAAAGTTTTGACAACAGAACGTTTATATTGTATGGGGCAGAAACTAGTGAAGTGGAGGTACTGTCCCGACCAGGTGGGTTTGCGGTGTACTTTTCGTCTGATTGATCCGTCTGGACGGCGATGGAGCAGGATATCGAGGAAGAATAGTTCATTATTCTTTTCTTCCTCATAAGTGACTTTCAGATTCGGGTGAATCGCATTAAATGACATCATTGATTTCATTAATGTCTGTAGAATGTGGTAATATGACAAGAATATCGTCGACATATCGTTTGTAAAGTATAATACCATCGATGAAGTGACTACTCGAAGCTATCTTGATTGGTCGGAAAAGTCCAATTTTATGTGTTCAAAAACAACTGTATGTTGATTTTTGTTTACCATGGTTTAAATGTATTATCTACTAAATCATGTAAATATCTCAGTAGATTAGGAGGACCTCACAACTCGGCTTTCATAAAGTCAAATTGATCAATTTGCAAGTTAGGATTGATTTATGAGAAAAATTTATATTTGAAATCAATCAATCAAGTCCCATACCAGGATGAAACGGCCATCCGTCAGTGCTTTCAGGTTTCTAAAGGTGATGGTCTAATAGTGATCGATTCATGATTTCAAACCAACTTGAAAATTTCCACAACTGTTCAGTGCATATTATTTACGTGCCTTTTCATTTTTTAGTCAGTCATTCTGCTTTCGGTCTTTGTTGTCATCATATTCTAGATAAATAATAGTCAAAAAATATGTTAGTGACTTTTAATACTTTATTTAGTCATACAATAGTAAAATAATTGCATAATATCCGCACAAAAAGGACAGTTTTTAGTAACTGAAACTAGCACTAACTAGTGAAGATCTTGGACTACTGTATGTTCTTCTTTGTAACTTATAAGCAAGAAGAGTAAGGTAACACAGTTGACCTTGATAATGTGATTACTCTCAAGCTGAAGTTATTCATATCCAGGTTTCTAATGGTGGTCTAACATTGATCGATTCACGGTTTCAAAAAATGTGTAACTTAACAATCTTCACAACCCCGTAATGCAAATTACCTGTGCTCACTAGTGAGTGACTAGCTTCGTGAGGAATCTTCTCCCAGTTCTAGTGGGAAGTTGTGTGACCAGTGAAGTTCAACCTGTTTGGGTGTAGTTAGTGTCTACTGAAGACTGTGTATGAGGTTGCGCAACTCCGTGAATTTGATCAAGTTAGATATTAAAACCGTTTGATACCGGCTCAGTGGTTCAATGGTTAGGCATTCGCGCACAAAACCAAAGGTCCTGGGTTCGTATCCCGCGGCGTGAAGGAGTCGTGGATGCGCACTGCTGATGGGTCCCATACCAGGACGAAACGGCCGTCTTTCAGTGCTTCAAGGTTTCTAATGTTGGTCTAATATTGATCAATTCATGGTTTCCAAAAAAATTTGTAACTTAACAATCTTCACAACCCCGTAATGCTAATTACAATTACAATCCAAAACCGATACTCACAAATAAGTTTTATTTTTGCCTAAATCTTTTCAATTCCTCGCCATGACGTTTAACTGTCACATTAATACACACACTGATATATAAATATACATATATTTATAATCTTTCTTTCAGCCGACCAAGTGTAGCACTCGCAGACTATGACATTTCAGATAGAAGGTAAGCCTTGTTTTTGTTATTGTTGAATTTTATTTTCGTACAATCGTTGATCATTTTGATAATATTTAAATAGAATTTTTGAAATAAAAAACCCCAAAATTTATTCAAGTCTATCTAGCTTATTGATTATGATTGATTGAAAAGTCAAATATTCTACAAGTAATCATTTATTTCTAACAAGTTCAATGAAATCACAGTTTTCAAAAACAGTTCACAATGACATATGTCCACTGGAACACAGTGGATCGATATTAAAATATGTATGATGTTCATTAAAAGTTTATTGATTTTTAAAAGTTAATAGTTATATTGAAGAAAGTAAAAAAGGGTGCTAATCTGTCAGCTAACATAAATAAGTATAGGTATTTGTAGGGATCAGCATCATCGACGAGAAATGTGGATCCGATGCAGATGTGAGGGAGCGGATCGGCTATGCAAGGGCTGCGTTTCCACAGTTGAAAAATATCTGCAACTCCAAACAACTTTCAACCGAAATCAAAATCACGATTTTCAATACAAATGTCAAGACAGTTCTACTGTATGGAGCGGAAACTTGGAGAACTACGAAAGGCATCATCCAGAAGATACAAGTGTTTATGAACAGTTGTCTACGCAAAATACTTCGGATTCGTTGGCCAGACATCATCAGCAACAACGAACTGTGGGAGAGAACAAACCAGATTCCAGTGGAGGAAGAAATCAGGAAGAAGTGGTTGAAGTGGTTAGGACACACATTAAGGAAAATTATCTAACTGCGTCACGATACAAACCCTTACATGGAACCATCAAGGCAAAAGGAAAAGAGGAAGGCCAAGGCACACATTACGCCGAGAAATAGAGAAAGATATGAGAGGAATGAACAAACATTGGACAGAATTGGAAAGGGAAGACCAGGACAGAGTAGGTTGGAGAACACTGGTGGGCGGCCTATGCTCCATATGGGGGTAACAGGCGTAAGTAAGTAAGTAAGTATTTGTAGGGATGTGTAGTATAATCTAGGCTGTTCGTACTGAAGATTGAGATTGATCATTCAACTTCAGCGTATGTGCATCGTGAATAGATAATAGCATTGATATTGTCGATTAGATGTTAGCTTTGCTAAATAAGACGAAAAATAGGTTTACATTTCCAATCTAAGTTATTTTAAGTTAGATTTTCAGTATTGATATCAGCGAATAACAACAATCAAATTGAATTCTTTTGAACTATTTTTTAAAAAACTGCACTTTTTAATCAGAAATTTGTTTTATAAGGCTTTGAAATCACAACAGATAACGGTATACTCGAATAATTTTTAACACATATTTCATAGATATTTTGTAGAAGGACATTGAGCATTTTTGTCTTTATTGAATTTCTTCATGAGTTTTAAAGTCACATCTTCAGAGCTTTTCTTCATGACAGCATTCTTTGACGTATTCTTTGAACTTTTCGCCTTCGTCGTATGGAAGATTGTATAGTGTATTTGATGTCAATGTGATATGGAGTTGATTTTCCGGAAATCGAGAATTCATCTTGTTAAGTTAGTTCAGTGTTTCTCATTAAAACACTGACTTGAATGGATGTAGTTTTATAATAAATTTTCGAATATTCACACTTTTTTCAAAAATCTTAACTTTTATATTTGATATTGTAAATTCGTCAATGTAGCGTCAAGTTCCTTGTCGTACACAAGATATCTGATGAATTTAAAACAACATCTTTTTTCGGACAATAATATTTATTAAGTCAATTTGTGAAATTTTTATTTCTGGTTATTTTATGTTGAAATTTCATTTTTTCACGATACAGTTAAGTTTAGAAATTAAAAAGTGAACTACTTATAATGATGACACAATGAATAATTCATTGTTAACAGTGTGAATCATTCAACATCTGACTGAGAATCAGTCCTAGATTGATCTTCACAAAAAGTAATGATGTGTAAAACTTGATTGAGATGGTGGAGAAGATTTGTAGCTCAGGTGGATGATTGTGGTGTTGGTGTTTGGTTCTCTGAGCTGGGTGTTTTGGAATGTGGAGCTTTCGTTGTTCTTCTGAACAACTACATCACCATCACAAGTTTCGGATAGAAGTGAAGCATTCGGATTTCGTCATATTTGACCTATAACTTGTTCTGTTAACCTTGATCTTGATTGGTAGCTGTAAACCTTAAACCTATCGTTGTTTTCACCTTTGTTTTGATCTATTTCCTGATCCTATGTTTGCCTATGATTTTTCTCATTGGTCAATGTCGACATGTTTGTTGATTGCTGATTGACTTGAGTGTCAAGCTTCTAAAAATTCTCTAGCTTTCTTAGTCTTCTCCCTATCCAGTATTTCCACATTGTCCCAATCGAATTTATGTCCACAACTGTCGGTGTGTATCGATATAAGCGAAGCGTTGTCGTGGTGTTTATATGCTAGTTGGTGTTCACGTAAACGAAGCGGAAGAGGCCGTCCACTTTGTCCTATGTAGTGTTTTTCACAGACGCTTCGCTTATATCAATACACACACTCGATTGGAACTATGTGGAAATACTGGGTAGGGGGAGGACAAAGAACACTAGGGAATTTTTAGAAGCTTTGTTGGTACTCAGGTCAGTCAGCAATCAATAAACACATTGACATTGACCCAATTTATCAACCAATCAGGAAAATCATAGGTGACATAGGATCAAGAAACAGATCAAAAAGGGGATGCAATCAAAACAAAGTTGCAAACAACAACAGGTTAAAGGTCAACGACAACCAATCAAGATCGAGGTTAACAGAACAAGCTACAGGTCAAACGTGGAGAAATTCGAATACTTCACTTCTACAATCTGAAGTTTGTGCTGATGATGATGTTGTTCAGTAGAAGAACAACGAAAGCTCCCCAACCAAAACACCCTGCTCAGAGAACCAAACTCCACCACCACAAAACTTGATTGACATTGATACTATCTTCCTATTAAAAACTAAAGCTTATAAATAAATATATGAAATAAAATCATTGTTCGTTTGAAGGTCAAGTCTTTAGAGGTTCACAAATATCGATTTCAAAAAAGGCTTTTCACAACATTTTATGGATTACAAGACTGAGGAACTTACATTTATGATGAGGAATGCTGATTTGAATATCGACCGTGGAAAAAATTCAAAACAGTTATTGTAACAATCAATGTTTTTACATTAGTTTTAAACTGAACTAGAATATAAGTTAATCAGTTTTTTTTAAATTTCCATAAATTACTTACTTACCTACGTCTGTTACCTCCAATGGAGCATAGGGCGCCGACCAGTTTCCTCCAACCAACTCTGTCCTGGGCTTCCCTCTCCAGTTCTGTCCAATGTTTGTTCATTCTTCTCATATCTTTCTCTATTTCTCGGCGTAATGTGTTCCTTGGCCTTCCTTTTTTCATTTTGCCCTGAGTGTTCTATATGAGGGCTTGTCTTGTGACGCAGTTCGGTGCTTTCAGCCGTATGTGTGTCCTATCCACCACTTCCAACGTTTCTTCCTGATTTCCTCCTTCACTGCAATCTGGTTAGTTCATAACCGCTTATAGGATAAATAGCGTTAAACATTTTACTTCATCGAAAAATGAAATAATCATACAACAAACAAACACCTTTAAAGCTACAATGCACACTTTAACAACCTGAACTTAGTTAGCATCTTCTGTTATCATTGATCAAGCAAATCATGCAATTTCTATGATGTATTTTTTATTGATTATCAATGATATCATAGTAACTTTGGTTTCACTTTGATGATCGATCGATACAGAATGATACGAAATTCTTTCTATTTATTTAATCTACTTTTTCTCTTGTTTAATTTTTTCAATGTTAACAAACTAATTTTTTTCTCTTTTGGCATAGATCCTCTGCAATGTCTTCACTTCTATTACTATTCGCCTTATTCGAGGGTATGTGTGGTTTTGTTTTACCGATTTGTTCTGCATTTCGTGTATCCAGTATATCACAAAAACGATATTACTATGAAGTAAGTTCATTTATGCATAACCATAGGTGTTTAGATGTGTTGAATACACAAAACGAAAAGTTTTATAACTTCAATGTTTTTGCTTACTAATTATTGTGAATAGTTAGTTAGTTAGTTGTATAAGCTGAAAACTGACCGAGGTAATAGAGTTCGTTATTAAACATCAGCCGACAACCTCACCAGCCGGAACTCCTGCACTGCTTTCTCTCTGTCCACTGGGCTGTCGAACTCCGTCATCCGCCGCCCAGTGACCGTTTCCCACGTCGTCTCCCCGCCAGCGCCGCCCAAGCTGTTATATACGGCCTTTGCCCTACCTCTCAGCTGCGTCCCCAGCACCACCAATTTCGCCTTCGGCTCCTTCACACCCACCAGCTCCGACACGGCCTCAAATTCGCTCAAGGAGCTGAGCACATCTCCGCCCTCGAATTCCTTCGGCCATGGAATCTTCATCCTTTGTTTAGGCAGCGACACCAAATGTAGTGAAGGAGTACACAGGTGAGGGCGACCGAATTGTATTTATCGAAAATTACAGAGTTACTCAGTAAAATCGGAACACCATATTGTAACCGCTAATTTGCAAATCTTCAATCCAATTTATCATCAATCCATTGTCTGACATTTCACTTATTCATGCGTTTCATAAAAATTCCATTGTGTTCTTTTAACTCTTCCTTTCTTGATCTTCCCCCATCTTCTGCCTGTCAGACATTACGTTAACACTCACGTCATATACTACTTATAAGTAGCGCGTACCACATTAGTATTCGTAATATAAAACTGACCGAGGTAATGAAGTCCGATATTGAACATTGAATGATGAACGAATGAATCACTTGACAAATATGAATAATTTTGAAAATTGTGGTATCATTCTGTGTCTGTTTCACGTTTAATTGTTTATATTGAACATTGTTGCATAATAATAATAAACTAGAGTTTTAATGAAGATTTAATTGAAAACAATATTCACTATTGAACAAAGATGATTTACAAGTAAAAACAATAAAATAAAAACAAATCTGCCTGCAAATCATAACACCAAAAATAGATTTACGGGTAGGAAGGATTTGATTTTGACCAACTTGGTCTCATGTGCTGATACGGGTATGAGGGCGGTTATCACTTCCCGGCTGCCCACACCGTGAAAGGTTGTTTCTTCAGGGACCTAAAAAGGAAGATAGATTAGTGTTGGTCTTGGAGACCTGGGTGTGTGACCGCAGAGTCCAAGGGAAAACTGCTTGAGGCCGGTCACGCACGGCCTTTTTATGAGAAGTTTTTTGAGTGTTAGCTCCGCTCTTCAAAGCCCTTAGTGGGCACCCTTACCGCCGGAGACGGAAATCCGTGAGGCAAGGTAAGGTGTGATAATTTTAAGGTCGACCTTTTCTAACCCGTCCTTTCTTGTGAGAAGGTAGCATCGCTGCAGATGCTGGTTGTCCGAGGGAAACACCTTACTGCTGTCACACCTCTCTGCAGTCAGCAGTACGACTTCGCCCTCAGACCTTGGGTAGGTACTTTTAGTCTCATCGTTCTCCAGTCGACCTGCCTGACATGGTAGAACCTTCAGGAACATAAGTTACAGCCAATATAGCTCATTTGGGTCATCACGATAGTCAAGCCTGACCACCACGTCAAGGTAGCATCTTCGGTCAGGACAAAAAATAGATGGTATAAGAGATATCTTCCCCAGCATCTATCCATAGATTATTCCAACTTATGTGCTACAGATGTTTTATTTAAACCATGAATTACTTGTCAATATTGTCAACAAGTACAATTAAAAAAACATCATTATAAAATACAGTTGACTGGAAATTGGCAACTGCAAATTTTTAGTGTTTAAATGTTCATATTTATGTTCATTTAAAGTATAGCAAAAGAGATGAGTTACCCAGAAGTAATGAAATTTGTTTCTTTTGAAACATTCATGATGAATTGAGTTGTGAGACATCTGTCTCTGTACTCTTGTAAACCTATTATGCTTGTCACTTAATATGTTTGAAACTATTACGGGTTCACCTTAGTCGATAGACGAGAATAAGACAATGAACCAGCGTCCAGGTAGGTTACTCTGATCTGTTGATCCAAAACATCTAACGAGAAGTCTTGATATGGTGCGGAAAGTGTATTCTACAAACACAGCCCAGCCAACACACAATGAATCCAAGCACACAAATCGCGTTTATTTATACATCATAGAAACGTCCTTGGGAGAGTCAAATAACATTGCACCCTAAAATGACACAGTAACCAATTACAGCCAAGGCTTTTTCTGGTGGGATATGAAATCTTAAGGTCAATTGATCAGTCCATGCTCGGAAATACAAAATCCAAAATTAAGGCATTTATCATGCGAGTTCTGAGGATCTAACTTCCCCAACAAAACCACCATCCAAAGCTTAATTGAAAGGATCCTCTTCATGATATAATTGTCTTTTTATTAGTTTCATTGGTGAAAAGGATATTTACATTTTACAATTTATTGATCTGTTACATGAAAAATCTAAACTGTTTTTAACCGTTTTTTTTCATTTCTAGTAAACTGTTACAGTCTCCAGTCTCATGTAGTTTTTAGGTGAAGCGATGATTCAAAAAAAGACTCAATTTATTTTGTGGTAGTGATAAATCTTTATTTCAAAAGGAATTTGTTGCGGTATGAAACTCATCAGCAGTGCGCATCCACGACTCCTACCATTCGCAGGAGCCGAACCTCAGACGTTTGCTCTTGCGAGCGACTGCCTAACCTCTGGACCACTGAACCAGTATCCAACGGTATTATTGTCTAACTCTGATCAATCTAAGGATTTTGCTTGACGTCACTCATTTGTCTTCGGTAGTAGTTATTTTGTACACCCGACAGGGTTTAACTTCACTGGTCACGTCTTCTTGTTAGAACTCCGAGAATTTCCTTACGAAGCTAGTCATTTTTGTACGATTTTTTCTATTAGAGTTATGGAAATCAGTGTTTTCTCACAGTGAAATCATCCATCAGTCATTGTTAGACTATCATTAGAAACTTGGAAGCACTAGACAGCAGTTTGAATCCAACAAGTTACAGGAGTCTTGGATCCACACTGCTGATGAGTCCTATACCAGGATGAAACGGTCGTTTAGTGTTTACACGATCCCAATGATGGTCTAACATTGATCGATTTATGATTTCAGTATGTAAAAACACTGATCTCTTTAAGTGTTCTATTTAACCAACATTACAGAGTTTTCTAATCGAATATATAAAGTGTGAAATTCAATTCATTCAGACATGTTAAATCAATGACAATAGTCGTTTTAAACGGATCTTTTTATGTGCTAAATATTGTCACGTTTAAGTCTATGAAATAAACACAATTTTACTTTATGTCATATAAACCAGTTGAAATAAATTTCATATAAACCTGAATTGTGTAAATTTTATCGAACCATTTGTTGGTAAATATCATCTTATAAACAATGAACACATAGTCACAAATGTACACAGTTGTACTTATCTCACTGAATTAAATAACATATCATATTAATGAAACTTACATGAAGAGACCTTGAATTATATAGTTTTAAGACTGTCACGTTCGTTTACGCATTATGTTATTGTAATCGATTTCATATGACTGGACTGGGAGAAAATAAACGGTTATCCAACACTGATATTTCTGCCAGTTGGGTTGAAAACATCATATAACTGTTTTCTATATCACTTACACCTGTTACCCCTAGTTCCTACCGTAGCTGCTAATTTGACGTGGTGGTCGGGCTTGGCCATCGTGATGACCCAGCCGAGCTATATTGCCTGGAACATACCTTCCTGAAGGTTTTACCATGCCAGGCAGGTCGATTGGAGAACGATGAGACTAAAAGCAGCTACTCAAGGTCTGAGGGTAAAGTCGTACTGCTGACAGTAGAAGAGTGTGACAGCATTGTGTTTCCCTCAGACAACCGGCATCTGTAGCGTTGTTGCCTTCTCATAAGAATGGGAGCGGTTAGAAAAGATTGACCCCAGAAAATGTCAGACCTCACCTTACCCCACGGATTTTCGTCTCCAGTGGTAAGGACTTTTAAAAAGAGTGGAGCTAAAACTTTAAGTACATCTTACAAAAAGCAGTGCTTGACCGGTCTCAAGCAGTTGTCCCTTGGGCTCTGCTGCCACTCTCCCGGGTCTCTAACACCAACACTACCTTCTTTTTCAGGTTTCTCAGGAAACACCCTTCCAAGGTGTGGGTAACTAGTAAGTGAAATCCGCCCTCATACCCGTAACAGCATACGAGGCCGGATCGGTCACAATCAAATCCCTTCTAAACCCCTTAACACCTCTCTTATCTCCACGAATTCCCCATCTCACATCCCTTTAACACCTTGCAGAGTTTATGCAAACGATTCGAGTTCATAAAACGTTATTCTTAGTCTCCTGAAGCCCCGTTCTAAACTAAACGTTGGAGCTTTTAATGTTTGGACATTGTGTCAAATAGGGAAACAGGATTCCTTAGCTAGGCCTTTAGACTCTCGTGTCATCGATGTGTGCTGCGTCTCGGAAACGCGCAGGTACACTAGGTAGACTAGGTGATAAGCAAAGTCACCTGGGTGAATCTTATGGTGTCAATAATGAAAGAACAGATAATGGCGACTGTCTGCTGCAGCCATGCTCAGATAGTCGCCTGTTTCTTGTAAACACTAACTTTAAGCATAAGGAAAAGCATCTCTTGACCTAGGAACCCCCCAAAGCGGACCCAACTAGATCACATCACTATAAGCCATCAGTGGAGAGGCTCAACTGAAGACTTCCGCTCACTCTGGAGCACTTGTCTAGATTTAGACCATGCTGTAGTGCGAGCGCGTATGTTTTTGATGCTCAGTGGATGTAGGAAAAATACATCGAGGAAACCTCTTAGGGCTCCTCTTAATGATGATAAAGCCAAGGATGTATTTCAGGAACAACCAGAAAAACAGTTAGGCAGCCGTGTATAAAGTGATGTCCACCCTGAGGCAACTCGGAATGATATCAAAAAGGC